TCCATACTAATGATACTTTTTTCGTTATAGGCCATTAAAGCTTTGAAAGAAGAAGGGATATATACAATTCTAATTAATCCAAATATTGCCACTATACAAACTTCACATTCTCTTGCGGATAAAGTTTATTTCCTCCCAGTAAATCCTGATTTTGTTCTTAAGGTTATTAAACATGAAAAACCTGATGGTATTTATGTAACATTTGGCGGCCAGACTGCTTTGAATGTCGGTATCAAACTTAAAGATAAGTTTGATGAGTTGGGAGTTAAAGTATTAGGTACACCGATAGAAACAATAATTACCACAGAAGATCGTGAATTATTCGCCCAAAAAATGTTAGAGATAAAAGAGAGATGCGCAAAGTCTGCTTCTGCTACGAATGTTCAAGAAGCTTTAGATGCTGCGCAAAAGATTGGTTATCCAGTCATATGTCGTGCCGCGTATGCACTCGGTGGTTTAAGTTCTGGGTTTGCCGAGAACGAAACGCAATTAATTGAGCTCTGTACCAAGGCTTTTGCAACTAGCCCTCAGGTGCTGGTCGAACTATCTATGAAAGGTTGGAAGGAAATCGAATATGAAGTTGTTAGAGATTGTCGAGACAATTGCATCACAGTTTGTAATATGGAGGTAATCTCGAGCAAATGATTATTAAACTACTCCTGAATTATACTTTTAGATTATTTTCTGATTGAGATCGTCTTAATATATATTAAGAATTTTGATCCTCTTGGAATACATACTGGAGATTCTATCGTAGTTGCACCATCCCAAACTCTCTCTGACGAAGATTACAACATGCTACGAACAACAGCAATTAATGTTATTCGTCATCTTGGAGTTGTGGGAGAATGCAATATTCAATATGCTCTCAATCCCTTTTCCAAGGAATATTGCATTATAGAAGTGAATGCGCGTTTATCTCGTTCGTCTGCACTCGCATCAAAAGCTACTGGTTATCCATTAGCTTTTGTCGCTGCAAAACTTGGATTAGGAATACCATTAAACGAGATTAATAATATGGTGACTAAAGTGACATGTGCATGCTTCGAGCCTAGTCTTGATTATGTAGTCGTTAAGATTCCACGATGGGATCT